CGCGCGCGTGCACGAGGACGCCGCCGGCCCCATTCCAACCGAACCGGTTGGAACGGGACGAGAAACCCACCCCTGGACCACACCTAGAATACTGCATCCAGTTTTGGTCACCACAACTATAAAAAGATGTTGAGACTCTAGAAACAGTGCAGAGAAGAGCAACCAGGATGATTAGGGGACTGGAGGCTGGAGGCTAAAACATGAAGAACAGTTGCAGAACTGACTAGTCTAGTGAGGAGAAGGACCAGGGGGAGACACGATAGCAGGGTTCCAATATTTGAGGGGCTGCCACAGAGAGGAGGGGGGGTCAAGCTATTTTCCAAAGCACTTGAAGGCCACACAAGGAATAATGGAGGGAAACTGGTCAAGGAGAGATTCAAACTAGAAAGAAGGAGAAATTTTCTGACAGTGAAAGCAATCAACCAACGGAACAGAAGTTGCATTTGGAAGCTGTGGGAGCTTCATCACTGGAAGCTTTCAAGAAGAGACAGGACTGCCATTGTCAGAAATAGTGTAGGGTCTCCTGCTTGGGGGGGCGGGGGGTTGGACTATATGACCTACAAGGTCCCTTCCAACTCTGTTAAACTGTTAAAAAAAACTCCAAGGAGTTTACTCCTCTATTTTGTCCTTCTCCCCCATCCTTTACTATCAAAACAAAGTTGAGAAAAAGCTCTAACTCCCATCTGGGTGAAAAGGTGTTTTAGATATCTTCCCAAAGCTCAGTGTCTATTTTTATGAACTTTTCTTAATCTTCAAACATCAGAGCCTAGCAACAGAAGCTATTATAGTCGATAATGAACATCAGGAACACAGAGAAGCTGGTGAAACAGCAGGGAGCAGATCTGGTAGATTCCAATTATTGGCCGCAGTTCTTTTTAATTTCTGCAATGCTTGCAGATATAATGAGCACAAAGTATATTAACACAATAAATAAGCAGCTTCTAGGAAAACAGCATAGTCTAATCTAATCCCATAGAGAAGGAATGGTGGCAAAAAAAAAACCCCAATCCTGAATTAATGTTATAATCACTATCAGTTTAAATAGCTGAATTCTCCCTCTACAGCTTTCCAGGAATCAAAGTCATCTTCCATGCCCACAACTGTCTACCTGTATTTTTCTATGCTCCAGTGCAGAAGAGTTATGAGTTATGAAAGTTTATTTATATGCCGCCCTTTCCCTGTGGGGACTCAGGGCGGCTTACAACTCGAAGGGAGGGGGGAAACAAACAGAGAAGGCTGGAATGCTTTATTATAGGTCAGTGATGGCTAACCTTTTTGCTATCGTGTGCCAAAAGCATGAGGAGCGTAGGGGAGGGGGGTGTCATGCTCACACGTGACAACCCTCGGCATGCCCATAGGGCCGTTTTTCTCCCTCCTGGGNTATGTGCGAGGGGAACCTTTACCTTTACCTAATCACAAAAGAGCTCATTTGTAAACTCAGAATGTATCTAATTTTTTTCCAAGAGCTTTCTGGTGCAGTGATTTCTAGTTTAAGAAATCACTGTACTAGAAAGCTCTTGCAAAAATATTACAAACACAACTGCATTGAAGGGCGGGGAAGGGGGGAGGATAGAGAGGATTTTTATCTATCATTCTACATCTCAAACCACGTGCCTTTGTGCAGTGCTTTATGACAACTTGTGCCCTTCGGAGTCACTGATCTATTGTTTGAGGACTGATTTCTTATACGGGTTTTGTGCTTCCAAGGCTCTTTTTGTCTACAGCTTTTCCAAGAAATGAATCTCAGGGATATACAACCATCTGGGGCTAAGAGAATTATTTGCCAAACACTCTGCTAAGAACAAAGTGTGAAGGTAATCACATTTTTCACGAACTTCAATGGAATAAAATCAGTCTTTGCTTATGCACAAAATCACCACAAGAAAAAAACGTAGCCAAGGATTAATAATAAAATGGCAGGAAAAAAAAAAGAAAACATGAAGAACTAGAATAGAGATAGGTTGTCATGGAGAAAAACTATCATTAAAATCAATGTCAACTTGCTGGCACAAATTCAATCAATCAATCAATCAATCAAAAGGAATTCTTTGACTATTGACTGATGTCATAAACAAAACACAATTGGTCCCTGGTCTTTAAATACCCTGTTTTCCCGAAAATAAGAACCAACTGGAAAATAAGCCCTTTTTTTCAGAATGCTCGTAATATAAGCCCTACCCCCCAAAATAAGACCCAATTAGATCGTCAGCCAGATGGATGCATTTAGACTGTATTTCCCTGAAAATAAGACCTAACAGAAAATAAGACCTAATGCAAAAATTTGAAGCAATAATAATAATAATATGAGACCTTGTCTTATTTTCAGAGAAACACAGTAGTTGTAGCTGCTTGCTACAATTTCTTACAATTCTATACTTTTTTCGATTCGATTCTTTCCACAGTACAAAAGTATGGACAAAAGTAGGCAACTGTTTCCTCTACTACCAAACTTCTGTTTTACTTACTCGACAAGGTCTTCTCTACATTTCTGCAGGAGTTCCTGAGCTTTCTGGATTTCTTGATCATTCAGAAGTACCAGGGTCCCAATTGTCAGATGGAGTTTTGCTGGGTTCTGAAACAGGCTACTGCTGACTCCACAGTCCTATAAAAACATTAGGCATTCCTCAAGTGAGAAAAGTGTACATTAGAAACTTCATATGCATTCAATATTTTTGACGTAACTTGTATTGAGCAAAGACAGATGCTCATATGGGGAGCGCAGAAACATCAGAATTTTCCAAAGCATCAGAAGGCAAGGCAAGAAGCAATGGATTGAAACTAACCAAGGAGAGGAGCAACCTAGAATGAAGGAGAAATTTCCTGATAGTGAGAACAATCAACCAGGGAATGGCTTGACTCCAGAAGTTGTGGATGCTTCATCACTGGAGGCTTTTAAGATGACACTGGACATCCATTTATGTGAAATGGTATAGGACAGTGTTGGCGAACCTTTTCGTCACCAAGTGCCAAAACTGGAGCTCGCATGTGCCACAAACCAGAAGAGGAGCTGCCCGGTGAGCAAGCACGCACCATCTGGTCTTTGTGCATGAATGCGTGCCAAAAATCAAAAGAGCAGGTGCCCGGTGCACATATGCATGCCGGGTGGCTGCTCTTCCAGTTTCGGGCTCTCTGCATGCATGAAGACCAGCTGGCTGACAGGCCAGAACCTGGAAGAGCAACAGGCAATGGCTTGTGTGCCCGGAGAGATGGCTCTGCGCGCTACTCCCGGCACATGTGCCATAGGTTTGCCATCATGGGTAGCAATAGCAGTAGCAATAGCAGTAGACTTATATACCGCTTCATAGGCCTTTCAGGCCTCTCTAAGCGGTTTACAAAGAGTCAGCATATTGCCCCCNTGAGTTGTTCGCCGCCCTGAGTCCCTCCTGGAGAAGGGCGGCATACAAATAAACTAATACAAATACAAATACAAATACTGACTCAAAACCAGGAAGCCACCACTGGCACAACTTTAACACTGATTCCCAATGGAAAGCCAAATGGGCCACTGAACAACCAGTCATAGGAAGGCATATAAATGATCCTAGAAAAAATGGTGCCAGGCTTTGAACAACCACGTCAGCAATGGACAATCCCGAACAGGAGTGGCCCCTCACACAGCGTCTGGAGCCACAATGGTGCAGTGGTCAGAGTGCAGTACTTCAGGCTACTTCTGCTGCCTGCCAGCTGCCTGCAATTCGGCAGTTCGAATCTCACCAGGCTCAAGGTTGACTCAGCCTTCCATCTTTCCAATGAGGACCCAGATTGTTGGGGGCAATATGCTGACTCTGTAAAACTGCTTAGAGGGGGCTGTAAAGCACTTTGAAGCAGTATGTAAGTCTAAGTGCTATCTGCCAGGACTCTCTGTATAAAGGGGGCATCGTATCCTCCCTTCAGTGTGACTGTGGGGGTCTCACATCAAACTGTAGATCACAGTGCCCGGCGGTAAGCTGAGGGCGTATACCAGTCCAGTATCTGATGTTTTAAATATAAATGATGCTGTGCTTCACTGGTTAGGTGGCCTAGACCAGAAGTCTCCAACCTTGTTAACTTTAAGCCTGGTGGACTCCCAGAATTCCCCAGCCAGGTAAGGTTGGAGACTCCTGGCCTAGACATTGGTGTTTGATCTTTTTAACATTTATATTTTATTGTGTTCTGCTAATCTAGATGAAATGTTAATATCTATTGCTAGTCCATGTATGATATGCCATATACAAAATCAATAAATATATTGGGCTTCATATATACGTAGGGATGCAGTGGCTCAGTGACTAAGACGATCAGAAAGGTCGGCAGTTCGGCGGTTCGAATCCCTAGCACCGTGCAATGGAGTGAGCTCTTGTTACTTTTTCCCAGCGCTGGCTCTTTAGCTTTGAAATGGAGATGAGCACCGCCCCCTCAAAATCAGGAACGACTAGCACATATGTGCAAGGGGAACGTTTACCTTTATATGCTTATGAGGCCCACGGAACCTTGGGTGGCCATCCAACCAGTAAAGCTATCTTCTCATACAAAGTACCACGCTTACAGATAGTACTGCATAAATAATAAGACTCCATCCATATCCAGGCAAATTCATTTGGCCTGATATTGCAACATGACGAGCAATTAGACAGAATCATTTGTACAAATAGTTTTCAGATCTCACTGGAAAGATAATTTCCTGTAATAAGTCACTACCGTGAGCAGAAGCAGAATAAAATGAAACTGTGAAGGCATCCAAAAGGGTTGCAGTACAACTGTAGTATCCTTTCATTGATTCCAATAAATAATTTCCAATTTGCTCCTCAAAATGTATAATTGAGGTTTATTCATTTTACAGCTATCCCAATCATATGAATGCACAAAATTGTCAATTGTACGAATGGGCCAAAATGCAGCCATTTATTAATGTAGAAAATCACAAGAATTCACTACAAGTTAGTATATCAAACTGTAATTAATATTGTGATGAAAAAAGAATGTTGATGCTTTTGAGCTTGGGTGTTGGAGAAGACTCCTGAAAATACCATGGACAACCAAGAAAATATTTTTTTTAAAAAAAAGGAAACTGTAAAAAATAGTCCAGAATTCAAGGGATAGGTGCCCAGGCTCAAAATATCCTACTTCAGATACGTGAGGATTCTAGAGAAGGTCCCAAATGTGCCTTTTCAAAAGGCAACTGAACGTTCTTTGTTTTTCCTTGAAGATGTTTCACTTCTCATCCAAGAAGCTTCTTCAGTTCTGACTGTTAGAACAGAAGAAGCTTCTTGGATGAGCAGATAAACTTCACAGAAAAACGAAGGTGCCTTTTGAAAAAGCACTTTTGGAACAACCATCACCTGGATGATTGACAATCTCCACAGACCAGGGATGTCAAACTCAAGGCCCGGGACTGGATGTGTCCCACAGGGTACTTAGATCTGGCCCATGGGGCCGCACTGGAAACAGCAAAGGACCAGCCGGCGGTGCCTCTGCTAGCGAAAATGGGAGCTCGGGGAGGCCGTGCAAGGCCCGCCTGAGCTCTGTTTTTGGCTGCGACGGCCTCCTGCAGTCCTCTAACAGTGAAAACGGAGGCCCAGGGGGGGCCGCACAGGGAGGCTGCAGGAGGCTTTCAGGGTTGAAAACGGAGTCTCGATGAGTGAGGTTGAGCTGGCCATACCCACCCTGCCCATGTCCCCCGACCCTCCTCCCCCCCCCCCCCCCCGAGATCAAACACAACCCTGATGCAGCCCTCAATGAAATCGAGTTTGACACCCCTGCCATAGAAGTTCTAGAGAAGTTTCTGAGGGTGGGAAAGGCAGAAAGAAAGAAAAAAGG